TAAGCTCTAGGCCTGTTAGCAGGTAGCATATGAGAACTATCTCTAAATAACAGGTACTAGTTTATAGTTTTTATCAATCTTGTGGCTTCCATATTTTTGAATGATTCGCATAGTATCGTCATCAGTATTAAATGAATTCATGAGTATAAAGGGAACGTTGACATCGTATTTACTATTAAGATACTGATTGCATAAACAACAAATCATGACAAGTTAGAAATAATGGCATGGATGCATCTCTAATAAATGATATAACCTATGGAACCATACCTCAATTTGCCTGACACTTAAATCCAAAAAAGTCATACCATCCCTAACCTCAATGGCGCTCTTTGGACCTACACAACCCATGGTTGTTCCAAGACCACCGTTAAGTTTGAGAACTGCCAATTTATTTAAGTGTTCAGGGCTTTCACAGACAGGTAGATCTTTATATGGAATAATTTGTTCGGGACTAGGTTCATTAACTTTATCCCAATCCCTTTTTAATAACAATAAAAGGTCATCATGTATTTTTTTTTTTTTTTTATTAAAGTCGAATAGAACATGTAAATACTTACAATTTTGTACCTTTAGCTTTTTCACTCAAATATCTGGTAAATAATGAATAAAAATGATCCATCTCATTTTGAAAATTCTTAATAATTCGATTACAGTAAGTTATAATCTAATGATAATAAAAATAAATCGAATACCAAGTTTTAATACTTACTCTACGAGCCTTCATATCTTGAATCGCGTTAGCAAGCCTGTTTAACTCGGTACGCATGGTCTTGGCAGCAACGCCAGAACTTGCACTATGAAAGTCCTTTTTGAGAAAGATTGAAACTTAAATATGAGAGTAATAAATGAGTAACGCGTTTCAAATACTTGCTTACCATGGCCGACAATGTGTGGGGATGGTGACGCTCCGGATTTGTTGCGACATCAGATGGTGAAGTAGTCATGATTTAAAGGTTTAATTTTAATTATTGGTAGATAATTCGTTAAAAAACACGCTTTTTAAATGTTTTAGTTTCCTGATAATTATCGTTGCAGATACGAATGCAAATGTCTTATGATGTCAGCACATGATGACGATATTAAACCGTCATCTTTATCCTATTTAGTTAGTTAAAGATTTTTTAGATTGTGAATCCCTTCCGAATGAGTATTTGTATTTCTAACATTGTGGTCTGGTTTAAGAGATTATAATTCGGGTCTACAGACCGGGATCATGCCCATGCTTAACAAAAAGCACGGGCATAGGACACAAAAATAAGTATGTCATAGCTGATAAGGAATTATGTCGATACAGCATCCACGTGACCTGTCTCTAGTGATTGTACAGTGTTTGATTTGGTTGATAAAATCGACTTAATCGACTAAAGGCGTTCTCGAACATCATCCTCAATGGACATTTTTTACAGGGCAATCTCTCGGTTGGGATGTATCGGTATTCAATACTAGCCAACCCATTTTATCAGCTGAGCATTTTTTTACCTCTTGAGCAAAATTGATCGATTTCGGCCTAGCAGACCAGCATTCCGCCCGAAATTTTGGATTTTCCTGTATAAGTTGATTTACATAATTTCTGGGACACCTACTCATTACCCGAAGTCTTTTTGGTCATCGGAAACTATATCGCTGTCTTCGGACCTTCAGTCCGGAGACAGTGATGTAATTTTCGGAGAATTAGGTAATTTACCGGATGACCAAAAAGATTTCGGGTAATGATGTCCCAGAAATTATGATAACGATAATAGCTGTAAGTAAGTAAGGATCTGCAAATGTCCATGAGCTCTGACCGGGTCGGAAAATAGCGACCCGGATCAATAGTCACATAGGTCAAAATCAGTAAATCTTAAGTCGAGATATTATCCCTTTGACACCAATTTCGTACAAAAGGACATTTAATTTCGTACAAAGTGACATTCAATTTCGCACAAAATAACATTGTGGTATATCATGATTTATTGAACCAACTTAGATGATTTTGGTATCATTCGAATCCTCTCGATGAGGCGATTCGAATGATACCAAAACATCTAAATTGGATGAGATATCATGGTTTGATTCAAACTTATTTTATTGTCATTTTGTACAGATTTGAATGTTATTTTGTACGTATTTAAATGTCATTTTGTACGAAATTAAATGTCACTTTGTACGAAATTAAATGTCCCTTTGTACGAAATTGATGTCAAAAGGGTAAGACATAATATTTAAATCGTTTGCATCAAAAAAATATCTCGTAATTTGATTTTCCTACATCGGAAAAACCGGTCTATTAATATTTCTCCGTTTGACCCAGGTCAAGCAAACTTCGACCCATCAAAACCAACCTGGGTAACAACTCTAGCCTGCGTTATAGACTCAAAAATGCCAGGCATTATTATAGGACCCTACAGCAAAAAGCCAACCAATCAGATTTGAGATTTTATATCAATAATTTATTACTAGGTCTGGTCTTTCTAATTTTTTTTTGTCAAATATATGTATTAATAAAACAGTGTATAAACCCGGGATTTTTCTTTGTTACTGTTGTAGTAAATTTAAAAGAATACGTATCAATTTACTACATAGCGATAATTATACTCGATCTGCAATATTATTCGTATTTTTGAATACCCGAAGTTTGACCCGTCACCCACGGGTAGGGATGTTAATCGGTCCCGCAGTAATCGTCAGCCGACTTTGAGCAAGATTTATAAAAAATTGGCATTTTTAACCGGTATTCGTCCAATAAATAAAGTCATAGAAAAACAATTTTTCTGTTACATTTTCTAATAGAGATTTATCGGTTTTTGCATTAGTTTTTGAGTAGATTTGATGGGACCGAACAGTGTGGAGAAAATTTAGCTAATCGGTCCCTAATCGGTCCCATTTAAATTACGCAAAAACTAATGCAAAAACCGATAAACCTCTATGACCAATTTTTTATAAATCATGCTCAAAGTCGGCTGACAATTACTGCGGGACCGATTAACATCCCTATAGCTAGATCAAAAAAATAGTGATTATAACAAGATTGTGACTATATTGAGAGTGACTATAACGAGGTCTGACTGTAATTATAAATCAATCACTGTGTTTAAATATTATTTATACACGTTATAAATTCGCATTAATCTTTGGTATATTAGCGGATAGATTTGGTATAAAGCATCCATTAATGGCAGATATCATATACAGTGTAATAGAGTTAGCTTTAAGATTGCCCCAAATTTTACAATCTTTATCATATTAAGAGTAATTTTCGGATTGCAATGGGCGGAGAATGGGGCACAGGTATAATTGGAGTAGAATTAATTTTACAAATTAATACGGTACGGCACATGTCGTATTTTTTGCCATAATTGCTATGAGCCGTAAAGCTGTAATGCCATAATGCAGAAATACTATAATTCCGTTTGTTGAAATGCTGTGCATTATGTACTTTTCTTTAAATAATATACTGTTAATTTTTCGAATTTGATTCTGTCGACTCCGTTGATTTAATACATGCAGCGACTATGAAAAAAGGTTTTGTCAGGTCTAGGTTTTATTTTGACTTAAACGATTATCGTGATTTATTTTTATGGCCAATTAGGCTATTCTATAAGTCATTGTTTGAGAACAGCTTTGGTTCAGATATGACATCATTGTCAGATTACAATAACAGTATGTTAGTGATGGGCACCGCAATTTAGTGAAATGTATCAAATAAATTGTTTCTCGGGCAGTGTCATAAATCAGGCCAGGTTCCGAAATATTCCGAGGTCGACTCATTTCCATTACATTATAATATTAATAGCGATAATGTTATAGTATTCCATTATCACATTACAAATTATGTTATTGCGGCATTACGAAATTACGGAAATTTGGGCAGCGTCATAAATCAGGCCAGGTTCCAAAATATTCCAGGTCGAGGAATTTTGACCATTTACATAAGGTTCCGAAATATGGAACATTATAATACGTATTATAGCGATAGTGTTATAGCATTCCGGTATCACATTAAAATATTGTTGGCAGTGTCATAAATCAGGCCAGGTTCTGAAATATTCCAGGTCGAGGAATTTTGTCCCATTTCCATAAGGTTCTGAAATATAGATCATTTTTGTCTGGAGCGAAGCAACAGACTTATACTTCTATGCATTTTGATGACCGAAATTACGTTTTTGATGCATTATTATTTAAAATATCAAAAACGTAGTTGTTGCATTTTTCGGATGTAACGCCGCGTATCTATATTTGTGCCTTTGTGTAACAACAACAGTATTTTACGTGTTTGTATTTGTAGATTTTTCAAAGAAATCTATTTTCTTTCTAAGTAAACATCTTTTCGAGCTCTAAATAAAGTTGTAGAGGAGTGTCTTGTGATCAAAATGGCGGTTAAAAACGTTAAAATCGGCCCAGTGGATCGTGAAATATAAGCACTTTAGTCTTCGCGACTATATTTTTTCTCTATTTATAAAAAAGATACATTTATTATAAAACGCACCTATGGTGGTTTGAACCTATCATATGTTTTATTATGTTTTCTAGATTTTTTCTAAGTTTTGAATATAAAAATTTTCAACACAAATTTTCATATTAGTATAAGTATTTAGGGTTAAGGTTAGGGTTTGGAAAGGGTTTTTAGGAGCATAGAGCATTTTTACTTAGGATATCTTGCACCGATTAATTAGCCAGTTTTTGAGATAATATATGCATAGGTGTAAAACACCATAGGTGCGTTTTAGTAAAAGTCAAAAGATATTTATAAAGAAGAAAGCATATAGTCGCGAAGACTAAAGTGTTTATATCTCGCGTTCCACTGGGCCGATTTTAACGTTTTAACCGCCATTTTGATCGCAAGACACTCCTCTACAACTTTACTTAGATCTTGAAAAGATGTTTACTTAGTAAAGAAAAAAGGTTTTCTTTAAGAAACTCCAAATTTAAAAAAAAACAAAATTTAATAGCCAAAGAAAAACTTTTTTTTTACTAAGTAAACATCTTTTTAAGTTCTAAGTAAAGTTATAGAGGAGTGTCTTGGATCAAAATGACGGTTAAAACGTTAAAATTGGCCCAGTGGATCGCGAGATATATGCACTTTAGTCTTCACGACTATATGCTTTATAAATATTTTCTTTATAAATAAAGAATAAAAAATATAGTCGTGAAGACTAAAGTGCTTATATCCGCGATCCACTGGGCTAATTTTAACGTTTTAACTGCCATTTTGATCGCAAGACACTCCTCTACAACTTTACTTAGAATCGAAAAAATGTTTACTTAATAAAGAAAAAAGATTTTTTTTGGGAAACTCCAAATTTCAAAAAAACAAAATTTAATAGCTAAAGAAAAAATTTTTTTTTTCTAAGTAAACATCTTTTTAAGTTCTAAGTAAAGTTGTAGAGAAGTGTCTTGCGATCAAAATAATGGTTAAAACGTTAAAATTAGCCCAGTGGATCGCGAGATATAAGCACTTTAGTCTTCATAACTATGTATTTTCTTCTTTTACAATATAAATAAAAAAAAATATATATAGTCATGAAGACTAAAGTACTTATATCTCACAATCCACTGGACCGATTTTAACATTTTAACCACCATTTTAATCGCAAAACACTTCTCTACAACTTTACTTAGAGTTTAAAAAATATTTACTTAGTAAAAAAAAGTTTCTTTAAGAAACTTCAGGTTGAAAAAAAGATTTATAATTGTTCAGAGCATAGCAGAGAACTTTTAATTTCTATGCAAGGTGATATTTTTAATAAAAATATCAAAAACATAACTTTGCAATTTCTGTTTATCACTATTTGCAATACAACAAATATCATGTGATTAGAAACCTATGCTCCAGACTTATATCAGTTTTGATTCCTAGTACTATTATAGTGATAATATAATAGTATCACGTTACAATATTGTGTTATTGCGGCATTATGAAATTAGTTTTATAAATCAGGCCAGGTTCCAAAATATTCCAGATCGA